GTGTGTGTTTATGTGTGTATTTATGTGTGTGTGTGTGTGTGTGTGTGTGTGTGTATGTGTGTGTGTGTGTGTGTGTGTGTGTGTGTGTGTGTGTGTGTGTGTGTGTATGTGTGTGTGTGTGTGTGTGTGTGTGTGTGTGTGTGTGTGTGTGTGTGTGTGTGTGTGTGTGTGTGTGTGTGTGTGTGTGTGTGTGTGCGCGTGTGTGTGGGTGGGTGTAATTGTTTATATATATATATATATATATATATATATATATATATATATATATATATATATATATATATATATATATTTGTGCGTGTGTGTGTATATATATATATACATATATATATATATATATATATATATATATATATATATATATATATATATATATATATATATATATATATATGGCAATGAGTAAGAGAGGTGTCGTGGTTAGGTCAGTGATAATAAGTGCCAGAAATTGCCTACTAGGAATACTAGGCTCCATTACCGTGCTAAATAAGTTCACACGCACATTAAGAGTGCACAGAAGATGGAAACAGCAGTAAGAAATAGATGATAATCACCCTCTCCCCCCAAAAAAAGACTACCAAAGTACGAAATCATTATAAAATGACAAGCATCACCTGTCCCCATACCCATAGGACACCGAGTAACAGTGCCAAATCGCACAGTTTTCCCCCAAGTAGATTCGCTAAGGAACAGTACAGAACATCACAAAATCATGTAGGTTTAAATCATAAAGCGACAAGTATAATCAGCAATCTGACAGAAGATCCGCCAGATAAACTATGCATTAACAAAGCGTAATTCAAGCGATGGCATCACAACAGAGTGCCAGACACTGACCCCTGAAGGCACACGCCAGTAGGCAAAAGCTAAGGAATGTGATACTTCTCCGAAAAAACTGCCGGATACAAAATCGCCTTTCTAACATCCTCTAACCCCAAACCCCATCCTTACCCATTCCACCATCGTCCTCCTCTCCTACATCACCCACCTCCTTCCCTCAACTCCTCTGCTGCAAGCCTAAAATTTATGCACATTATCATGGAGTGCGTATGTGCGCTCATGCAGATGCTATTCAATCGTTTGTGCACGAGTATGACTGTGTATGCACGGAAGTACGTAGGTGTATGCGTGTTTGTGTTTGTGTGTCCATGTGTGTGTGTATGCAAGAGAAGCATATATGTATATGTATGTGCGAGTATGCGTATGTATATGTATGTATATGTGTAGGTGAGAGTGTATATATGCATATATATGTGTAATGTATGTGTTTATGTATGTATACATGTATATATGTATATGTGCGTGTGCATATGGGTATGTGTATGTATATATATATGTATATGTGTATGTGTGTGTGTATATGTATGTGCATATGTGTGTATGTGCGTGTATACAAATAAAAATAAATAAATATATATATATATATATATATATATATATATATATATATATATATATATATATATATATATACATATACACATATACACACATATACACACACACACACACACACACACACACACACACACACACATATATATATATATATATATATATATATATATATATATATATATATATATATATATATATATATATATATATATATATATATAAATATATATATGTATATATATATATATATATATATATATATATATATATATATATATATATATATGTACATATAGTTAAATAGTTATGAATAGTCAATATTTGATATGTATATATCTATCGTTACTGTCGATTTTCTTATATACTTATTTTCTACCTATTCTGTCCGTCGAATCCACCTATCTTCACAGCTATCGACATCTTGGACTATTTATCTGCTTGTTAATCTATCTATCATGATGAATTTGGTCTCGTAATTATCTATCTCCCTATTCATCTTTCTGTATATTCTATCTATCTATCGATTCACCTCGAGGGTAGCCGTGTTCTTATCTCCCTATTAATCTGTCTATTGATGCCTGTATCGTGTTCGTCTTCAACTGGAAGGTAAACTTGATCCATCTATCTCTCTGTTAATTTATCTATCTACTCCTATATCTATGTAAGATGGAATAATGCATCAGCATATTGAGATAGATAAATAACAACCCCCCCCCCTTTTTTTCTGCTACCCTAGGTCATCCTGAGTCATGGCCTGGAGTGGCAGAGGTTTGTGTCCATGTCAGGGGATTGTTGCTATCTATCCTCTATCTATCGCGAAGGACTTGCGCTCTGGACTCACCTGGAGGGTAAAAGTGACCCCGAAGTCCGTCGTGAAGAGAGCCGTGTCGTCGCTCTCGGTGCCGGGCTCGAACTGCCACTCGAGGAAGAGGTTCTTCTTGCGGTATCTGAGGGGGAGGGAGGGAGGGAGGGAGGGAGGGAGGAAAAGAGGGAAAGAGGGAGGGAGAGAAAGAGGGAGGGAGGGAAAGAGGGAGTGAGAGAGGGAAAGAGGGAGGGAGGGAGGGAGGGAAAGAGGGAGGGAGGGAGGGAAAGAGGGAGGGAGGGATGGAGGGAGGGAAGGGTTTGACGTGGGAGAGGGTTGGGATGTAAGACGAGGGAGGGAAGAAAGAAAGAGAGAGAGAGAGGAGAGGAGAGAGAGAGGGAAACAGAGAGGAAGAGAGGAAGAGAGGAAGAGAGAAAGAGAGAGAGAGAGAGAGAGAGAGAGAGAGAGAGAGAGAGAGAGAGAGAGAGAGAGAGAGAGTTAATCACATCAACATAACGAAATAAAGGACATAAAGGAGACATATACATTTAAAACGTAATAATAATACCAATTATATAATAAAGATGAAATAAAAATAAATGACAAGCTTAAGAAACATTCTAAGTAATAAATAAATCAAGTTATCAAATGACAAAAAAATACAATGCCAAAATTGAAAAAGCTTTCAAAATACAGCATCGATACCATACACCAAACTAAGTAATGAAATACATTTTCAAATACAGTTTTGTAATATAACACACCAGGTAATAAACCAGGGAATAAAAACACTCCTGAAAAAAGAAGAGAAACATAACACATACACCAGGCAATCAAGAAAATTATAAAGAACACCTTTGAAATTAAAAAACCCAATACCAAACTCAGCATATAAAAAGAAAAATATAACAACGATGTCACATAGGAAGGGAATACGGCAAAATACCAGAAGTACAATATAAGCAAGCAATAAGAAAACGCAGCTTTGGAAATAATACAGTAATACCATTAGCAATAAATGAACAAGAAAATCAAATAAATGGACAAGAACAAACACCAAAGTAATAAGACCTAGACTGAGGCTGTTAAACGATAAACAAAGACAAACCAAAAATAAAAACTACAACACCATTCTTTTTAACAACTTATTTATTTACTTAACAATTCGTATCATCCTCACCTCGCAATGACAGTCCCATTGCGATCAAACACCACCTGCGTGTTATGCAAGACGCTACCTGAAGGAGGACAGGAGGTGCTGTTGTCGCCCTCAGAGCAAGGGGTCTTTTCGGACACATCAGCCACCAAGTACATTTGGTTCTCTAAGGCCGAGCAGCTCAGCGCCTTTATAGCCTGGTTGGATGAGGTGGGGTAAGGTTGGGAAAAGAAGCAGGGGACGAGGTGGGGTCACTTCCTTAGGCAAGGTGGCTAAAATGGCGTGAAGGGAAAGTAATTGTTTCACGAGGTCATATATCCCCAAGGTTAAACGGTGCCACAGTATTATCAATACGCGATTACAGTCGTATTACAATCGCGGATTTAAATTGCAGTCTTTATCTACAATTGTCAGGTGTCCAAAAATATAACAAGTGGCTTAAATAATACCTGAAAAAGTGACTACATCATTATCAGAAGAATGTAACAGTTACCTACATTCTTTACAAACTTCAGTTTCCATTTCAAATAGCCCATGATTATATAAGAAATTAATGACCGCATTATTTAAAGAATATAACAGTTACATACATCCCCACTCCAAATAACCCACAACAGTATACGAAATAAGTGGCTATATCATCATCAACAAGTAAAATCACTTCCCACTTACGGTCGCCTGGCCGAGGTCTGAGGTCGCAGAACAAGGCACGACCCGGTCACGTGGGTCAGGCACGGTCTGCGTGAAGCTCAAAAGCTCATCGGGAACCAACACGTGCATGTCCAGTCCATGGAGGCCGTACTCGGGAGCCACCAGGATGTCTGCACCCTACGGAGAAAGGCGAAAGAGGGGGAAGAATGAAGGACATAGAAAGCAAGACAAGTATTTATTAAGATGAAAGAGGCACAGTATCGTACATATGTATATTTCACTCGCTAGCTAGTTATTTCGATGTACATATATATATATACTCGTACAAATATATGCATACATATACTGCGTATACAGATAGGTAGACAGATAGATAAATAAATATGGATAGAGAGAGAGAACGATGAACTAAGAGCCAATAAAAATGACAACTCACAGATGAAACCAAAAGGCACTAACCATTTCCTTGGCTACAGCAGCGTACTCGGCAATGACTTTCGCGTTTTCCCTCAGAATGGCCTCTCCGCCTTCCTCAGTCCACGTGATATAGGGCTCGTACTCCAGCACGGCGCCTGTGTAATGCACGGTCTCTCCTGCCCGCACGTGCGCCGCTGCTTGTGAGACGTGGAGACTGTCTGGAATGCAGGGAAAATTTGCATAGATAAAATAAGATGAAATAAAAACAATAAAACTGATACTGGGGACGACAAGCGTAAGAAACACTTTAATAAATAAATCAAGTTAGTAGATAAATCAAGTTAGTTCAGCCCACGGCCACCCACCTACAAGACTCTCCTGCCGAAGTCTCTCACTCCGCACCAACTGCAGGAGCAGGAGCCCCGCCGTAAGTGCCACGAGCAGGCCCACCCTCAGAACCATCTTCGGGAGACGCGGAACCGTTTCTGCCGCTCTTGAGTCTGCTGCTTCGGTCCATCAAGCTTCGAACATATACATGGGATCTGACATACGTTATCTCAGGCATACGTGAAAAAT